TTGAATTAGGATCGCAAGGTTGACTCTGCAAATTAGATAGAGATTTTTACAAGAAATTGACCGCACAATTTTTGCTCAAAATTTTGTTGACTTTTGTGTGTAATGAGAAAAGAAAATCAGCAAAACCTCCTGTCAAAGAAAACCCAGCAGAATGTAAAAATTCAATTTTCGAGTGGAAATTTTACGTCAAAATATAGTTACGTTATTTCGTCTAGGATACGACGAAATACGAAAATAGAAAAAAAACTGGGTCCATTGATTTTTGACTGGTTATACAGCAAATCCATAAGCGCTGAGAAACGAGGGGTAGGTCCGGGTTGCCATTTGATATATTCCAGGGTGATATAAAAGGCAGACGCCACCATTCGGCATCACCCGTGTAATTTTTGAACGAATTAAGGTAGGGACTTCATATTTTGTGAGTGCCCCTAAGGGAAAGGAACGGACTTTTGGACATTCCCTAGATTTTTAGGGACCACGCTAAAACAGGGCAAGAAACCTATGGGTTACATTGGTGATGCAATACTTTTGGATCACCCTGTATAATATTTTGAAGTAAAGCTGGCGATGACCTTTGCTCTTATTCGGCGCGTCGGCATCGTAAGGAATTAGTATGCGCTGAAACTGGACACACCGCACATCGTCCGATCGTAATCACGTAACCCGTGACAATGAACTTGAGATGTCTGTCTGCATCGCTGAAGATGAACGTCGCGAATTGCCAAAAAACAAGTCGCGACTGAATAGTAAGCGGGGACCATGGATCACACGTGGTCCACTGAAATCGTGTTTACCCGATCAAAATGAAGATGCCCCGTCCCTGAAAACAAGCTTGTGTTAAAAACTTTATACTTGGATCTGTAAGAAACTAAGGGGTGCGTCTACTGACTCCTTCGCGCTCTTATCCCCCCGAGGCGCTTCACGTGCTGTTCGGTACTCTCGTGCTTTTAACTATTAAGTAAGACAATCAAAAAAAATTTTCAGCAATTTTAAATAAGCAACTGGGACATTCTCAGTTCTGTACTGCCATGCAAAGGAAGAACGCCGTAAGAGCCTTTAAACGTTGCCAGATTGCCTCCGATAAAAAAGAATTTGATTGGAATATTTGGAATATTTTTCTTCAAAATTTCCAGGCAATTTTGTTCGCAATTCAATCTAAGATAGGTATCTGAAAATTTCAAGGAAAAAGTGAACGATTTTCCTCAAAAATATATGATTCATACGGGAAAATTTGGCAACTCTCGAATGTCAATATGGCGTTTTTCCTTAGCACTGCACCGTGGAACCTCAATTAAATGTTAAAAATAACTGCTTTTTATTTTCGGTTTAAAGATGAAAAAAAGGATATTTAAAAATTACTTTTTGAAAACCCATCGAGGATTGGATAAAATTTTAAATAGAATGAAAATTGTATCCCTTAATACTACATTAAAAACTGAATCTGACATAAAGTTGGATGTGTACTTGAAATCGTACCCTTTAATTTTAGGTTAAAAACCGAGTCTGTCATAAGCATCAGGCCTGCAGGCCTTTGTCAATGTTAATATCGAGGATAAAAATTGTAAGCCTCTTTTCGAAATGAACTCACAATCAATTGGGACCTACTAAACGCAAATATTTTAAAAGAAAACCCTCAAGTTTAAACAGGGTACCTAATCTGTATAATTCCAACCGAATATCTGGTGTTTCCATATCATGCCAAATATTCGGTTTGTCAAACTGAACTTTCGGTTCGTATAACCGAACTGTCGGCAGATATGACCAAACTTCGTTCGTCAGTTCACTTTACCGCACAAGTTCGGTTTGACAAACCGAAAATTCAGTTTGACGAACCGAAGTAGTTGGGATGATATGGTACACTGAACTTTTTTTTCAGTGTTACACCATGTGAACCCTCTCTTGAACCCGCATATGGTTCACCAATTTGGTGTTTTCAGGCTCACTCCGCAAATCCAGATGAAATTTTACAAGGAATTCAACACCTCCGAACATACATCTCTTCAATTTCCATGTTTGTATTAATGACACCGAGATTATCTTGTCCGGAGAAAAGGTCGAATAAATCACCCGAATTTGCGCTGAATGTAGGTCTCATTCTCCTCATCACCATCGCTTCCGCTCATGCTGTGACAACACACGGGTCGTTCTTCCAGTTTACCTCGCCGATCACACAAAATTTATTTGGCGAATCATTGATGATTCAGTAACCTCAACCGGCGGAACAGTACCGTTCTCAATATTTATTTCGAGAAGAAATGTTTACTTGCGCGCAATGGAAGATTCTGGGAGTTCGCTATTTTGCGTCCTTTTTTTAATGGCGTAAAACTACGCTGGTCAAGATATATGAATATTGGTGAATTACGTCCACTACTAGTTGTGCTGAATGAGCCGACTTCTCGTTCAAAGTGAGGTGGTCCCATGCTTGCCAGCTCACCCAAAAAAATTTAAGAAATTTGCGCATGATTCAATTATGCATGCTAGTAAGTTTGGACAGTCCACAATAGACGGGCTGATTTTTTTAACTTTTCCTATGGAAAAATCAGAATGAGACTGAAATAAGGTCAAAAACAATTCTTATTTTCCGTCACCTGTTTTTTAACATACTGTTCAGATCAATAGAAAATTAGTGCAATGTTTGAACTTTTAATGATTGACATTTACAAATTAAAGCTATATAACATTTGACTTGAGCGTAGGCAGACGTCATAAGAGACGCACCTAAGAAAATGAGGAAAACAATTCTTTCTCCATTTTAGAGGGAAAATAGAGAAAACTGTCTTGTTGTTAGAGAGAAAAAAAAGCAACGAGGAAAGATACTCTACGAGTATCAAAATGTGTAAAATTAGAACACAAAACTCGAACGATAGAAATGATCACAAAAAAATTAATAACTAATCTTACTAAGACTAGTTCATGACGCCAAGAAGACTTTTTACTACTGGAAGCTGGGAGGAAAATAAATGATCGGTGTAAGTGCCCTCCAATCGATGGCCAGGCAGAAATGTTTTGTAACACACACGTGTAAGTTCGTCGTTTCCTTAACGAATGAACGTAGCTCCAGTCCAATATTTCAAAATTGACACAAACAATTCATTTTTTTTACAAGGATGTCATTGTATCCATTTAATTGTCGACACCAAAATGTTTCTAATTTTTGCATAAGATCAGAAAACAAGCCTGTGAAATTTCTAGTCAAAAATGCCTAGGATTTTTCAGGTAAAAGCTACAATTTGCGAGGGATATTTCGGCAACATTGAAATGGACTACATTTTGCAATTTGGAGCTATAAATTCTGGCTCATCTAAAAGAACACTTATCTGCATAGGGAAACTAATGGCGCACGCGTTGTTTTTTAAACCGGGCTAGAATTTATAGTTCCTAATTGCAAAACGTCGTCCATATGTGTGCCAAGTATCTTCCTCGTTTCATCGGATAGCATCCCAACTACTACTACACAGTGAAAAAAAAGTAACTGGCATTTTGTGTTAATATTAAAAGTAGAGCCCGTAGTAATCAGTGGCGTGGCGTGAATAATCGATTATCGATATCTCGCCATTTGAAGCTATGGTAAAGAATCGATTACTGAGGTGTTCGCTGCGAACACCCTGATAATCGATCTTTTTTCACAGGTTTAAATGGCACAACAATTGATATATCGCAATTCACGCCACGCCACTGGTAGTAATGGAGAATTTGCATTTGCAGGTGTTAGAAATTTTGGGAATGTCATGTTTACAGGGAAACTACCGCGTAAACTGAGCATGAGAATATATCCTTCGTTTCTAAAATGAGCAATTATTAGAGGATCTATGACAAATTGCTCTAATCTGCTTAACTAAATGTGTTTAAACGTGAAATGCCGCCTGATGACGTCACACGCCGGCAGATTTTCTCGATTCCAAATTTTTTTTCTACAATTTCCCGTACCAGAAAAAAAGTATGAAAAATACTGCGAATGTAGCTCATTAAGAGCTCTGAGATGCAGCAATAAGAAAAAATGTGCAAATTATCCATTACCTAAATGTGCGCTTAAAATGTTTACGTTTTTACCCTTGGTTCATAAATTGAACAATATTTGGAGAAGAAATGGCGAAATGATCTAATCTGCTAAAATACGTGTGTTTAAATGATGACGTCAGATGACGTCACTAGGCGGTGCATATTTTCTCACTTTTAAATCTATTATTTCCCATATCAGAAAAAAAAAATTATAAAAAATTCTGTGAGATCAGCTCTTTAAGCACTTTCAGATGAAGCAATAAAAAAATTGCATGCAAATTCTCCATTGTCATCATTGTATAAATCATATCAACATTATCAACCCTCCTCTAACCCCTTCTTCGGTATGCTGGCATTGCTGGCCACTTCAACCACCCCCAAAATACAATTCCACCCGATATAGAGTGGCAGTAACACCTCTTCAAATCAAAAAGAAGTCGAGGAACAGTGTTCGAAACTCACTTTTGACTTTTAGGAGTCATGTGGCGCATCAAGCTCGACTTTTAAGCGCCATTGAAGATTTTTTAGGGGCCAAATTGACTTTCTGCCTAAAAATTACGGCGCATTTAGTGAAAAGGTAGACGCAAGATGTATTCGCAACCGAACTATTAAGTAACTGTAACTTGGGGAAGACAAAAGCACTAAGAATGAAATCGTGAAGAATAGAAAAAGCAAGCTTTCACTTGTAGTGCTGAAAATTCTGAGTTTTTTCAATTCAAATAGATTTTTTTTTCTTTCTTTATGTGACCTCCTGTGAAAATCCAGATTTTTAGGGGCCACGTTAGGCGCAGAGCCTTCATTTTTTAGGCGCCATGACCGATTTTTTAGGCGCATTTGACGCGTTGGCGCCTGTGAGTTTCGGACACTGTCGAGGAACGCCGAAGGAACAACTCCTCAGTCCACCTCGATAATTTATTCAAGCCCGCATGGCAACATGGCAGAGCGTGCGTTGTGTGGCGCGAAAAGCTGCGCTCCTCAGACGCGGGTGCCTCGGATATCTATAAGAGGCGTGAGGTTGGCTCCGAAATATCAGTTGGATTCTGCTCCTCATCCCTGAGAGGCTGTCCTACTCCCTCAACCTAAGTGCATTAGTTGATACCTAGTGTCAAATTGTGGCTTAGCGTTTCGGCTATCCACTACATCAACCTAACTCCTTCAAGGTAAGCTTCCTTTTTAGACCATTTTATGGCGCTTCAACCTCGTCCAAATCCGAGATAAAAGCTCCATGTTTATATTTTCTGTGTATTTGACCTGTTTTTTGTCTTTCTTTTTAAGTAAAGTTTTCTTTAGAAAAAATGGTCAGTTGTCGTATTGCAAGATTTAAAAATGCAAACTAACTTAATTCTACCATGGGTTATAGTAGAAATTAAAGGAATATTTTATACGAAAGTAAGTGATACCATTTTACTTCAAACTTCCTATCATCAATAGCCCTTATTCCGATTATATTTGTGGCCTTCCAATTACATTACAATTAGCCTTTGAAATTGCACATTATCAGGGGAAAAACGTATTAATTGAGAGAAGAAATTAGTTTCTGCAAATTCCAGTTCATAAAATTACTTTTAAAAGCGGCCATTCCCCCGTCGTAGAAAACTGATATTAGTTACTTTTTCTAACTCAGCGTTAAAGTCTCCGAAACCGTGAAACCTCATTCACAAGTTTAACCAGATTTATTTGAACCACCGATGCACTAAGTTTGTTAAATTTCATTCAACTTTTAGAGTAGACTCTCCTGAGTAATCGTTCATTCTTTTTTCATTTAGAATGATCATGCATGCGATGCGATGTAGTCTAAATCGTACTGAATCGCTGCAATTCAATCCGGAATAAAATCTTGTCACGTTTACGATGGCTCGAGCATTTTTGACGTGCAATTTTAGCTGGTAACAATAATTAGATAGATTCAGTGCCTAGCTCAAGTTGTCCGTTTTACATCATAAATTTCTACATCGTTCTATCCTATGTAAAAAGTTTAATTCATAAAACATGAACGCATGTTTACTACGAAAAAAATTAAGCACCACCTATTCACATTTAACTATTTATACATTTTTATCAGCAAGTTTTGTGGTTGACGAAATAAAGGTTACCGTAATACTGAAAGCAAGGAACACCTGAACAAGAGTTTGACCTTTTTGACCAAACCGCCGAACTCTTGATTATCAGCCAAACTTTAAACTCCACGTAAATAACTGAAACACTTGATTCGGCTAAAAAAAATTTGGTCTAATTCATCATAACACGCCATCGCGATATGATTCTTTTGCAAATAATTACTTTCAAAAGTGCTCTCATATTTCATGCATAGCCTTATCTAAGTATAGTTCTTGATAAACGACTGAAAGAAACTGCGCCAAGAGCATTTAAAATATACCAATTAAATTTCAATTGCGATTACTAAAATTTTCAGATGTATCACAAGAGGCACTATCTGCATGCTTCAAATCTTAGTAGTACTGAATGAAAAATGCGTAAACATAAACATGCATAGGAATTTTAAATGCATAAGTGTTCAGAGTGCAACTAATATTACTGCTCTAATTTCACGTTATTCTTGCCTCCGGTAAAATTCCGACCGTTTACAATTTTAGAAGAAAAATTAGACCGACGCAACCGGCTTTCCGGGTTTTTATTTTTCTCATGAATCACTCAATCGTTCAAGATATGACTGCGTTTCCAAATTTGCCAACTTTAGACAATGCATTTAAATTTTACAGGAGATTTACATTCCACAGATCAGTTCTGCATTTGGCAACCCCGTTAAGTCCATATCGTGAGGCACGGGGAGTCAAGTATTGCATGACCTAGACCCAGAACTTGAATCGATCCGGTCATTCAACGTAATGCCCAATATACGCACTCGCAATTTTACTGTCGTTGTAAGATTTCAGGCTGAATAACATTCTTTCACGCTATTTCAAAGGTCAATGTTACTTTATCGGTAAAATCTGGCAGATTTGAAGACAAATATATATTGCCGGTTTTAGTGGAAAATTTATCTTTCTCATGCTCCTACCCGTCGTGAGAGAAGTTCAAGATGAAAGTTTAAGATATTAATCGCGTCTCATGGGATGATGTTTTTGCGATGTGGGATGTCCTACAAAAACATTAAAAACAATTTTTAGTTGATGAAAAAAAAAATTCCAAACGCGGAATTTTTGTAATGTGTGAAAGTCATACGTTGAATCTTTAATCTTCATACATTTTCGGAGCCCTCCTTTAATTTTTTCTACCATCATTTTGAGAGTGGGCCCATTTTGCATGTTTTATAGTTATAATTTTTCAAAAATAGTTCATCAACCACCAAATAATAATACCCACTGTCGAACAGAATTTCTTAATCTGATCTCTTTGAATATCCTCTGAAGATAGTCCTTACATTTGATGCAGTTTATGGTTGTTTCCGCTCTGGTCCCATCACACAATGTGATCGGTGCAAATATTAATTACTAAACTTTTTACATCGAGCCCTAGCGTTCGTGTTCGGACGGATCAAATTGTTTTTTGGTAATTCCTGGTAAATAAAAACAAAATAAGATGATGCGTTACTTTTAACCAAATCAGTAGGATTCGTGCTTTTAGGCGTTCTAAAAGATAAAATATTTGTCCGTCAGTGACGAGGCGTGAATGATCTATTATCGATTTTTCCGTATTTGAAGCCATGGTAAAGAATTGATTATTAAAGTGTTGTCTGCGGACACCTTGTTTATCGATCCTTTTCCATAGGTTTAAATGACAGATCAATCGATATATCGCAAAGCACGCCACGCCACTGATGTCCGTCACTACTGTACTGTGTCTACGTCTACCACAATATCAAAATGTAATTTTTTTTTCTTATGGTTTTACTAAACAGAAAGTCGCTTGATGTATTTTTACCATAATTACTTGTTGCGAGCCACGATAATAACCCAATAGCGACACCGATTAGAATCAACGCGTACTGAATGAGTAACATAAAAATCGCAGAAGAATAAAGCCAGTCACATGGACACGCGTATTTGTCACTCGGTGGTTAAACTTACTTTTTTAAAAAAAAAAACAGGCTAGGTAAAAAATAAAAAATTCAACATCTACGGATGCCAATGATCTATTGGCGAGCAGTACTCGGAATCGTTGATAATTAAACTGTCATAGATGCTTCATCATGCAGTGATTAAGAGAACTATTAATACTCGTTTTACAGTGGAGTAGAGGGTCATCATTCGGAGTTGATAGTTCGTGGTTTTTAGAAGTTAGCCTTCTACATTTTTATACCACTTATTTTCTTTTCGAAGAGTTTGGACAGTCTTGAGGACCAAAAATAAACAACAAAAAAACTCAGGGTTTCAGTTAGTTCAATAAAACTGTCCTCGGTATTTTTCGCGTAAGTGGTAAGGTGGTTTGCGTATACTGAGATAATTACCGCGATGGTAACGATCATCGTTGTGATTCCGATAACGGTTTTTCCAGTCATATCCTTCCCGTGTAGATTGATTCAGCGGCTGTGTCATTCGATGTATGAGTGCCAAAATAATTCTTTCTATGTACCACCCTTTGACAGTATGGTAAGATGATTGAAATGACAATGACGTCAGAAGAATCAGAAGAAGATCCGATGCCGTAATTTTCAGTGGAGCCGGACAGATACATAAAAAATCCACAGTATCGATGGCTAAAGTCGAAAAATGTGTATATGACTATGTTTTTTTTAGGAAAACTAACGATTTATTGCATAAGTGATAATTGAACTGCATTTTGCAATTGAGAACTACGATTTCTGGCTCAGTTCAGAAAGAACGTATATGCAATATTAGTTTCCCTTTGCACATATAGGTTTTTTTGTCGGCCGAAATTGTAGTTCCTAATTGCAAAATGTGGTCCTCTTTATCCTCAGCGAAGTTCAATAAAAATTGTTGGCTCTCTCAAGTTAAACATTTAAACATTATCAGAGGTTTACAATTTTGCAATCGGAGGCACTCATTTTCCGACCTTAGCCGTATCGATATCGATTGCCGTGTAGCCTGTGACTACTAAATCCATCTGCATGTTTCACTTTTCTGGACAGTGAGCTTTTTAGCGCTCTGAATGCACTCTAAATATACATCCATAACAACTTGAAGTGATAGAAACCAGTTCAGTGTACATCCAAAATACGTCATAATCCGTTGAATCAGGTCTGGATTGACGGCAATCCGTCTGTTCGTTCATTAGTATGAGCGCATTTTAAACGAACTGACCGCCCGGGAAAAATCCGATAATTAGGGCAACTAACGTCACTTCGACGAGAGTCCAGGTGACCACTAAGCTCTTTGGGAATACCTAATTTACCATACTACCATGCTTTGAGAGAACTCAGTATAAGCTCCCAGACTTTGCCAAATTTCCTTCGATAAACGACGAATTTTCATGGAAACTTGTGAATATTTTCTTTCCGGGTCGTCAGCGAATGCGAATGTTATTCGCTATTTCATTTAAATTACCTATGAGACATTTCCAGAAAGAAGATTCATAACTTGTTTCAAAAATGAAAATTTCATCGGGGGAAATTTGGCAATGTACTGATATTTATAAGACGTTTCTCCTAAGCAGGGTAGCATACTATTGGCAATTTCTCGTACATCCAATCGACGTAACAGTAATTGATTGACCCTCATTTCATTTATACCTGAGTACACCAGGAAATATTGAGTGAGTATGAAATGAATTAGATTCAAAAGAGAGGCTTCAGAGAGAGAGAGAGGCAAGAGAGGCGAAATATTCACAGAAGTTGAATGGACCACGGCACGGGGTTTATGCATACTAAACAGAGCAGTTGACCATGTCAAAGGTTCCATGTGACTTGATGTTGATGTTAAGTTCAGAGAGGTCATTTATTTGGTCAGGAGAAATGATACTCGGCAAATTTGCAAAATCCAAATCTGGAGAGGCTCGCAAGCATAGACATGAATATTTTGAAGTACGTTTCTGTTTACGGAAACGATTAATGAATCGAAGCTGTAAGACATTGCTTTTGACCTAAAAACCAAGAAAATTATTTCGATGAGGCCTGTGCCTCTAATCAAGGTTCCGATATCTGATAAAGACCGAAAAAAATTTCTTTGTAACGTGTCAACGTCTATCATTCTGAAAATTGCGAGACTTGGAGTATTTCGGTTGCTGTTCTTAGTATATGTAA